GGTGGTGGGGGAGTTATTTACACCTCCGTAACCCAGTCTGTAAAGCTTCCCTTCGGCCAGCGGCCGGTTTGATGTGTCCTTTCCTAAGCACCCCCTCTTGGCCTGGAAGTTCGTTTGAAGTAAAGGCAAAACACACACAAAAAAATAACTATTCGGGAAAACTCTCCCAAAGTGTATCAAAGCAAAGAGTCCGTCCGTCCCCTCCGTCGTCCCCCCCCGCCCCCGGCGCAGAGCTCGCTGGCACGCTGCCGTAACGCGGTGTCATCTCTCCCGTCTTCTCCCCCAGCGAGTCAGACGGCAACCCCAGCACGGAGGATGAGTCCAGTAAGGGGCAGGAGGATTTATCTCCCCATCCGCTCTCCAGCTCGTCCGACGGCGTGACCAGCCTCAGCCTCCCCGGCCACATGGAGCCCGTCTACATGCAGCAGCTCGGAAACACTAAAATAGCCTTGAGCTCATCGGGCGTCCTGTTGAACGGAAACCTCGTGCCTGCCAGTACCTCTCCCGTCTTTCTCAATGGTAGCTCTTTTCTCCAGGGACCCAACGGTGTCATTCTCAATGGACTCAGCGTGGGGGCTTCGCAGACGGTGACCTTAAATTCGCCCAAAACCACGTCAAGCGTTGTGAGCAACGGAGTGTCCATTACCGACATACTGTCGTCTTCGTCAGAAGATGTTAAGGACTTCAAACTCCTTCAGGCTTCGGTCCCCAACACCGCAGCAGCCACCTTCAGCCCCAGCAACATCCCGGTCTCGTTCCCAGGGTTGATACCAAGCTCAGAGGTGAAAAGGGAAGGCGTACAAACTGCTTCTTCCCAAGGTGGAGGCTCCGTAGTTACTTTTACTGCCCCTGTCCAAATAAACCAGTATGGCATTGTCCAGATCCCCAATTCAGGAACAAATGGCCAGCTGCTGAACGGAAGCATTGGTTTTTCTTCTCTGCAGCTGCCTCCCGTTTCTGTGGCAGCTTCACAAGGTAAATGTTTTGTCTCTTACAGTAAGAGGTACGAGAAAACGTTGGGATCGAGCACGCTTAGCATTTTGGAAGCTGTGCTACTTTTCCTCCAAGGTACCGCAGTTGTATCTCTGCCCCAGCCACGCGCAGTGCATCAAATAATACCTTTTGCCCTCCTTTATAATGGGTTATGCTCGTGGGCAGACTGTTACGTGAGGCTGAGCTCCTCTGCTAAGACTAGAGGAGATCTGGTATTTTGCACCGCTTTCGTCTCGTGCTCCAAAGTCTGTGATACCGGTCTTCACAAATATCTGTAAATTTTACAAGTTTCAGTGACTCAAAATATTCCCATTTGCCATAGAATTCTTTTAATGAGAAGGTTCACAAAAATTCACATTGTGGCAGCTGGGGATTGTTAACATTGTTGCTCTTGTGGTGGTTGTTTTGGGGGTTTTTGTTTCTTTAACCAAAGCATTTCATAAAAATAAATTATAAATTACTGTAGACACAAGACCAAGCAGTTATGCTCGTACATTTTCTGTCCTGTAATTACGAAAGATTAAACTGCAGGGAGAGAACAGAAATTTGCAATAGCTTGTAGATATAAAACGCGAGGGTATTTGAATAAAACTGCCCTCAGTCCAAGGGAAATATGTCATCGCAGGTTCACGTGCCAAGTGCGCAGGCTCCTCCCCAGGCTTGCTCTAGAGTTTGTCTTAACATACCATAGACTGCAACTTGCAGGCAGCCAGGAAGAGTCCCCAGGAGCGCAAGCCTAGTGTTAGGTCCTTGTTTTGAAGCAGGTCAGTTATAAAGCACAACTGAACAGCTTTGTTACTCATTAGCCACTCAGTCTTTGGTTATGAAAATTATTAAACTTGAATGAACCTCCCTAGTTTCAGGAGCTATGAGTACTGTAATGAAAATCCAGCTGTGCTCATGTTAATTTATGTGAATTAAACCTGTACAGGGAGTGAATTATTCTTGCCGTTAGGGTGACACAGGGAGGAACACTAAAGCTGTACAAACACATTTCGAATGGGCGTAAAATTGCGAGATCCTAAAATGTGGCACTTGCAGTCACTGGAGGTTATTGGTACATAGTTTAACCAAGATGAAAAAGAGGAGACATTTAGTCTGAACACCACCTGTAATTACAAAAGCCTTTTAATCCGCATGCTCCAAGGCATAAACTGATAGCCAGCAAAGGTGAGAAAGTTCTGCCCCTCAACTAGTACGGGACTATTGTGTTTGAAAGTCCTAACGCTCATTATAAGTTCCTCTCTGAATGTTTTCCCTATTGTTAAAAATACCGATTCCCACTGGAGAGTGATCCACCGTATGTCTGGTCTGGTACAGAGAAAAGTCAAGATCCGCATTTGCCGCTTTGGTTTCTCTCTGTTTCTCTTAACACAAGAAGAATGGGTAGCTGGCTGCCTATTCCAAGGGAAGTGTGCTGCAGGCTATTTGAAGTAAGCTGCAGTAAATGGTATCTCATTGCCAGGCAACTTTAAGTTGCCTCGGCTTATTCTTCTAGTTTACACATAGGAGTGACATCTTCCAAAAAAAGCGTCATGGAGTAATGGAAATGAACAGGGAGCTGAAATATTTCTCAGGTGAGAAATGCATCTTCAGTGCTGTTCTAAAAAAATTCAGGTGTCTCCAACTGTTGCCTCTTAAAATTATAATTAAGCTGCTCTTGAGAAAGAAAGGTGTTTGAAGTGGGACCCAGGCCCGAGAGCCAGTATATCTGATTTTAGGAATTATTGTAATGACAGCTTACAGGGCATGTTGAGTAAAACCAACTTCAGGTCGTCTCTGGCCACCTCTTCCCGCTTTGGCTAGGTACGGTGTCACGCGAGCAGCGCCGTGGCTTGCGGTGAGGGTGGGCAGTCGCTGGCTGGCTGTACGCGGCGTGCTGGATGCAGTAGGGTTAGGCTTTTAGAAGTAGGTGATAAAGTGAGGTCGAAGGCGGTACATCTGGGTACTTGGCGGACTACCGAGTTAACCCGATAGAAGTTACTGGGTTTTTTCACGTTTTCTCTGCAGGTTGAGTGAGGTGGGCTCTGCCCAGCCGGCAGTGGATTTCATGTGCTGTGTCTCCAGTTCCCACACACAAGCTGTAGTCTGTCACTGAACTATCTTTAATAGCTTTTCATGCTTCTATTCTTAGATAGAAATTGAGTGGTGGCAACTAGTGAAGGCCAAAGCACATTCATTCTAATCATATGGCTGGGGACTGTTTGCCCCTTAACGAGAGTCTGAAAGACACCTAATATACCAGAACTTTTTTTTCTCTTGTTTCTAGAAGCAGTTTCTATTAACGGCTTTTATTTCTTCATACCAAATTTTCTCTCACCTGTTAAAAAAAAGCTGTTCTGTGTTGTGTGAAATATTAGCATATATGTGTACTGCAAACAGAAAAAAGACCAAAACGTCTTAACAAAATGCCTGCACAACTCTCTGCCAACTATAATCCATGTTTTCCTCTCTTATGCTTCCCTTTCTCTAGGTAATGTTTCGGTAAATCCCAGCACATCCGATGCAGGAACTTTTACGACTGAGTCTTCAACAGTGCAGCAAGGAAAGGTTTTCTTCAGCCCCCTCACTCCGAGTGCAGTTGTTTATACGGTTCCCAATTCAGGCCAGGCAGTAGGCTCTGTCAAGCAAGAAGGACTGGAAAGAAGCCTGGTGTTTTCTCAGTTGATGCCGGTCAGTCAGAACACGCAACTAAATGTAAACATGTCTTCTGAAAATATATCCAGCGGAGGACTCCAGTCCCTGGCCTCCTCGTTAGTGAATGTAACACCCTCGCATAATTTTTCCCTCACGCCACCAACTCTTTTAAATGCTGCAGAACTGAACTCTGGTATCTCGGAGAGCCAGTCCATGTCATCACCCGCGACCAGTACCTCTACCGTGATATCTATCAGCAACACTAACTATGCAACCCTTCAGAACTGCTCTCTCATTACCAGTCAAGATCTGTTGTCCATCTCTACAGCACAGCCCGCACTTGGAGAAATCGTTTCTACAAGCGGGGACCGTGTCAGCCACCCGTCTACACAAGTACATCAAGATTTTGTCAGAGAGAACAGGTTGGTTCTGCAAGCCGTGCCTGACGTCAAAGAGAATTTCTTACCTAATTCTGAGAGTAAGTCAACTGGCAATTTAATGATGCTGGATTCGAAATCCAAGTATGTTATGAGTAACATGGTTGACACGGTTTGCGAAGAACTGGAAACAGACAAAAAAGAACTTGCCAAACTGCAGACAGTTCAGATGGATGAAGATATGCAAGACTTGTAACTTTTTTTTTCCTTGCTTTCTGTTGTAATAGATAAGTCTCCTGTTGAGGCCCTAGCAAGCACCAAGTGGGTGGTGTTTTTTTTTTTGTTTGGTGGGTTGTTTTGTTTTGGGTTTTTTTTCATTTAAAAAAAACAGAAGAACATTTAAATGGTCTGAATCAATGTACAGAGGAATCTCTGGCAATGGAATTAGGTTGCCACACTTGGTTTGCATGCAGTATTCTCTTTTAAGCAGATTAAAGGAGAAAGGAAACGCCAGGGCAAGTACCGAGCGAATGGCTACAGGTTTGGCTAAGAGATACTACCCTGATGATTTAACTAGACTCTCCATAGTACAACATACTCTCAACAGTAAGTATACACTCCTGACTTTAGATAGTAAACAAAAATCTCGCTCCAAAAAGGTAGAAACAATGCAGTCGTTTTTGCTGTTTACTTCTAGTCCGTGGGCATTGAGAAATTTTTAAGGAACTCCAGACGATACCTCACAGGCTACTTTTATGTTGTTTGAGGTTAAGAAATGAAACAAAAGCGTAAATAATAATGTTACTGGTGTGTTTGCTTTTTTCCCAGCAGACTTACGTTCAAACCAAAAATCTCACATGAAAACAGTTACAGGTTTCTAAATGCTACAGCTAGCATTTTGTCAGTGCACCAGAAAAACCATCATTTGAAACTCTAATTGTGCAACTCGGAAGCTTTCTCTCCATTATGAATGTAAATATTGTTTCAGTTCTCATAAAGGAGACTTTTTTTTTTTTAAATTACTACAATGGATTTTATTTATGGTTTATGTTCCCTTTCACTTTAGACACAGTGCATTGAAAAGGAAAACATTTTCTGGCTGTTTAATTTATTTTTATTGTTTGAGCAGGAAGTAAGCGTAGTTATTTCTGACAAGGTTTTACTTTTTTGTAGTTTTTCAAGCAATAGACTGTAAAAGTAAAATGTTAATCACACTGAAACTAGAAAGTGAACTCCCAGTCTCACAAACCCAGGAGGTCCCTGTCTCTACCCCCTCTGTCTTTGTGTTCAGGGGTTTTTTTTGTTTGTTTTGTTAGTAATTTGCGAATTAGTTGAACCTTTTTGTGTATTTTTTACAGAATTCCACGTGCCTTTCTTCCTAGTGGCCTTATCTTTGTTACTGAAGCACAGTGGCAGGAGGAATAAAAACACTGACTTGCAAATACCAGTCCTCAGGGCCAAATCCTGATGCCTTACTTCTGCAAGTAGACCCGCTGTCTTCGGTGCCCCTACTTGCACGAGTAAGAAGAGTTCTAAGTCTTTTGGTCATCGTGGGTGACATTTACTAGCGGTGCAGAGAGCCAAAGATAGGTCCTTCCACATCACGTCGTCGGCAGGGCAGGAGGAGTCCGGAGAGGGACCATGGGCCGAGCCGTTGTCGTGCCGAGGGAAGGGTCTTGGCTCCGGCCTCGGGCAGATGCGCAGGAGGGGCTGGGGGGGCAGCCAGGGAAGGGAGCCCCGTGTTTACACGGACCCGTTGGCCAAACAGCCCGTGTGGGAGGGCTTCAGCTGCTGTTCAAGCAAGCGGGCCCCCATCCAGGAGTGCACTTAAAACATGTATTTATATATCCTTCCAGAATAAGCAGCGTGGGGGCTGATGGTGGGAACTTGCAGCTGCCTGAAGGGCTCGTGGGAGCAGCCGTGGGCTCTGCCTGGCTGGGGCTGGGTCTCCTCTCCCTTCGCCCCGTTGTGCTGCGCCGGGGACAGCGGAAGCAGGTGGTTTCTGGGCAGGTGGGACAGAGCTTGCCTTTCCTCCAGAGGAGATTCTGTAGCATGGAAAAGCACATCCTTAAGCTTTAAAATAATAAGAATGCAGATGTATAAAAATGACATGCTGTTAATCTTTGTGGTTTTGTTTTGTTATTTTTTTATTCTGATGTGAATATATACAGTAACTAAAGCATGTATTCATCCTCATCAGGAGCCTGGTCCGAAGCCTTTGGAAGGCGATGGGAAATGTTTCCATAAGCTTCTGTGGGCTCCAAATCAGGCTCAGGACAAAACAAGATCACTTGGAAAGAGCAGTAGAGGTAGCACATCCCAGTCTGTTGCTGTCTTGGTTGTTAACTGGTTCTGTGGCAAGCCTTGGAGGGATGAAGGTTTTTTTTCGGCACGCCGTGAGCTTGGTATAGGGATCTTTGCTATTGTTTTGCACGATGTTGGATGCAGCGTGTTTTGCAAGGTGTTGTGTGAACCCTTGAAGCTGACCTCCGTCGGTAAGCACTGGAGTCCACGCTGTGAGCCGGAGTCTCTAGGGCTGCAGGGAGAGGGAAGAGCAAGCGTGCAAGGCGTGCACTTCGCAGCCGTACCAACGCTCTGATCCTCCGCAAGCAGAAGCGGCCCGTAAGCGGGTGGCTGTCCCCACGTGCTCCCAAGAGAGAAGGGTGTTTAAGGCAAGCGCTTTGAAGTGGAGGGTACGTTCCCCTGGCACAGCTTCCCTTGGCATTCAGGGGCTCTCCACACGAGCAGGGAATTGGATAGTCCCGAGTTCTCTCTGTTCTGCTTGTTTTATCTGCTTGCTGGGCTCCAGCATGAGCAATCTGCTTCCCACCTCTTCTTCGCATGTAAAACCAAGATGGTGATGATGAGGACAGTAGCTGTATCTGCCTTGCATGAATTTGTTCAACTGTTTGGAAAATTGGAAGGGCCCTGTATCATTGTCACATTAATGGAGAACACATGCGTGGCTCTGAAGGAGTTTGGGGTTAACATGTCGTCTTGTGAAGCTGAGACTATATTTGGAGGCAAGCTAGAGACTATTTTGGAGCACTCTCACTTGTTGAAGAAATCAGGTCTCCCAACTGAAAAGACTGCGGTGTTACGCCAGTACCTGTTACTTTTTTGTTTTGTTTTGTTTTTCCTCCTTTGCATTTGTTGTGTTACTGAGGCTCTGAATTCCAAGGCTTTGCAGCACAGTTGACGTGAAAACTGTGCATGTTGTTACAGTGGCGCGTATCTTGGAGTGTCTGGTACTTCTAATAGGAGACTTCCCACTCTGCGGTGGGAGCGGAGGGTGTACATAAAAGCAGTGGTTTGGGACAAAGTAAGATTAATCTATTCTAGTCTTCCAGATATCGAGTAACTTATTTTATTACTATTTTTTACTCTTTCTTTCTCCCATTGAAAATAAGTGTCATTCCCTCCAGATAACGTAGTTATAACCTCATGTTTTCTGCAGGTACGTATGCACAATATAAAGAATCATTGCACGGTACAGTGTTTTTAAAGTAGATATTTAAATAGTAGTTTTACTCCTACTGTAAAATAAGGGTCAGTTTTTATTATGTGGCCCTCAAGCAAGCAGGCTAACTGCTCTAAATAGGCAGTACACAAAGTCCCGAAAAGCATCTGGGGCTGGATCTTCGGCTGCTGTAAATAAGGCATAGCTCCACCAATTCCCAAACTGAGGATTTTACACGGTGTTTAGGGGATGTGGGTGCTCGTGTCCCACACAAGTAGATGGCAGTGAGCGTCCGAGCCCCACAGACCGTCCTTATTATCCCATTCTGTTGTTTAAATGGAAGGTGTGTCTATCTGGCATACGTATTCCTTCTCCCTCCCTCTCTGTTATGGATGAGAATAAAGGACTGTTTCAACTTCACATATGTTTGTAACTTGGAAGTCCACTGGAAATCTTACAGGAAACATTGCCAAATTCTACTACTTTTCTGGTCCCAGACTCAGCTTTGAAAAATACACTTTAAGCATATTCCTGCAAAGCATGGTGTTAAAAAAACCCCTTTGTTCTTTACTACTTTTAATTAAAGCTGCGTCTGTTTTGCCCAGAGTTTTGCAGAGAATCAGAAATGTGTTAAATTGAATGCTCTGTCTGGACTATTTGCAGCATTATTCCTGTGGTCTTACCTAAAAGAACATTTCAGCCACATAGATCATGGACATCTATCAGCCAGGCCCTCGGCTGGGCTAAACTAGCACAATTCTGTTGACTTTAATGTCCTTTCGCGCCAGCCGAGAGTATGGTCCATTCATTTCACTGGAGTTGGATCAGGGACGGATTTGGCCCAGTCTAGGGCGGCGGTACGAACCAGTGCACAAGGCTGGCGCTCAGACAGTTAGAACCCACCGGTCCCAGTCTGTGGAAGCGTAAAGCATATACCTCTTCCCATGTACGGCTTGACCCTGCCTGTGGATTCAGGAAGACGCATTCAGAGAGCTGCTTCACCCAGAAGTAAGGCTGGAATCGTCTTTATTGTTATTACTATCAATCCGAGATTAATGACAATAATGGACAGATTCTGACTTGAGATCCTGAAAAATCACCTCAATAATGTTTTTTGCAGCAGAATTGGGCCCGGTGTGCACAGGACTGTTTCCCGTGTGTAGATTTCTAGTGCCTGTGCACTTTGCTTAGCAAGGGCAGAGGAACAGCCAAGGGGGTGCATGGCTTCAGCGTCCCGCGAAATACGTACACAGGGCTCCCCGGGGCATGAGTCACCTAGTGCTTGTGGTCAAGAACCGTCTCAAATCATAAAAAGAACAGTAATTTTAGAACTCTGGAAACAAAAGTAGTGACATTTTGCAAGCAAGGAGACCTGAAGTCTTCCTGTATCTCCTAGCAGTTATCTTGAAGGATATTTTATACCTATGTTTCAATATAATTTAAAACTAGCTTCTTACATTTCTGAACTCAAGGAGGGGGTGAATCTTCTGGCTTTGAGGATTCACGTTCAGAGGATGTTTGTTCTTTTGCTGCATGTACTGTTTGTCCAGAACTAACCAGTTATTTCTGCGATATGGGTTTATTGTGCCTTACAACAAATATGAAACTTAAGCGGAATGTACGCATTAGAGGAGGGAATAATCAGAAGTCTTTACTGCACTGTTAGATGATGCCACCCCGGAGTGTATCATCAAACATATCTGTGCTTAATTACCCAACCAAAGAGATCTAAAGTATGTATGTTTGTTGTACTGTAATAGGGGTTTGTGCCTGGACAATTAAGTGTTTTATTTGTA